TTTCCCTACTTTACATCTTCATTTACATCTTAATTACTTCAATCACTTAACATTATATTCACTGAAATTTAACATTGGAAAAACCTTTACAAATTGACTTTGCTACTGCCCAGCTTTCTAGGCCTTCCGTTACTAGAGTTTATTTACCTCTATTCTTCATAAGTGTGGACTGGTACTTTTTCATTACTGGTAGAAGGTTGAATTTAAAAGCATTCCTCAATATTGTTTTTATATATAAGATTTTTAGCCAAATCAACTCTTACTGCTTTGAGTCCCATCCAAATTTAAGAAAATCAAATGTTCAGAATCAAGAAGTCCGTTCAAATTGCTATGTCAGCCCTTCTCCTCCAATGATTGTAGCACCCTTAGCATGAAGACTTGCACTCAAAACTTAGGACCCGAATCCACAAAAACCTGGCATTGGATGTGCTTTCCCTGCTATTCCTTCAACTTGAGCATCTACATCTCTTATAATTAAGGCTGATATTAATACTATTTCTATAGAAATGCATCTCTCCTATTGGTGAAGACATACAAGTGAATTAACTACATTCTCCTGACTTTAATGGGAACATTCCGATTTACAATGTGCTAGGGGAAGGGAAGTTCCATTTTCTATTCACTAGAATGCGGCACAATAAAAAAATTATCATTTACTCTCTGTTTTTTACGAAGTTCCAAGCTAAAAGAGCCAATTAACCTTGCACTTAATAATATTTGTATTTTTCCTATTTTTCTATCTACTTCTATTTTTTCCCCAGCAATTCTTATTAATTTTCGGTTTAGTATTCCTATCATTTGTTTGTTATAAATTATGTTTAGGAAAAAAAAAGGATATGCTATCTGGTCCGCACAACATTCACTAGTGTTTGATTTTTGAGTTTTCAACAGAAAGAAGAACAAGGTGCATGATGCATCTTACCTGCATAACTGCACGTGCAGTTTTACAATAACACATTAGAGAAAATTAAAGAGTATCATACAAAGAATAACCAAGGCCCACTATAATAAAATGCACACACCAGCGTTAAAATACCATGATTTTCATAAAAACAGTATATTAGAAAAGTCCTATAAAGTATTCACTTATTATTTTTTAGGGTTTCAGGCTATCCAATTAATATAATTCTTTCAAAATGATCTTAAAAGGGCATATTAAATGGAAAGTCTGATATGGCATCTACAAAGTATAAAACAATCTCAAAAGTGTTATACATAGATACACCGCCAAACAAGATGAATCTGATTTGAGCTTTCATTGTTGAACCCTTTCTATTAGATTACTTTTGGGAAGTTTACATACATACCACAGAATTCTTACGTATTTACATATTAAACTCCTGAACTAATATATTTACATTTACACTACTATGGTGTCATAAGCCTAGCATGAAACGCTGCATTTCACTTTTAAAAAGCTAATAATAGTAGTACTATTGATGTTCTGTTAAAAATTTAAGCTTTATGCACGTAAATATCAGTGTTTTAAGTGTAAAAATATTCTTTTAAAAAGCTAATAATAGTAGTACTATTGATGTGCTGTTAAAAATTTAAGCTTTCTGCACGTAAATATCAGTGTTTTAAGTGTTAAGATATATAAATACATAAAAATTGTGTGGTATGTATGTAAATGCCCCTTTATTTTTATGGTCATTTACTATAAAAACCAATTTAGGATAAAAAATCTGACAATAATATGATCAAATATTGAACTTCAAGGTAGAGGAGAATGACTATGACAAAACCCCTACAGCAAATGATTTCCTTATTTCTTTTTCTTGGATGACCTCCATATGTTTCTTGCTTCCATTCCTCTTGATATTCTCCATTTCTTGATTTCCTTCTTGATGTTTCCACTCTCCTTGATGATTGCACCAAGTCCTTCCTCATGCCATCAGCCTTGGGTATAATTGGGTGGGTGGGTGGGTGAGAGAGAGAGAGAGAGCTTCTGTGAGGGTAACTGGTGGGGTTAGGGAGACCTGTGTCGCCAAAACTTGTAAAAGGAGATGGTTTTTGGCTGGTCAAAGAATAAAGAGAAAGTCTCAACAAGCCATAGATTTCTTCATTGAATTGGAATTGACTGAAATTGAATTTTCCTAGGTACAAGATACTATTTATAGGAAAGAAAAACTTAGGTTACGGATGATAAATTATTAAGATGATCTCATTATTATTAATGATAAATAAATTATAATATCGCAAAAGTCCGTTGATAACCATTACAACTTATTTATCAACTTATTTGGTAAGTGATTATAATTCATGATAAATCAATGGTAATCCAAAAAATATGTATTTAAACTCCCTCCTTATTTGACTTTTCAAAGTGCTAGCAAATTTCATGGAAAGAAAATCTAATGTTAAATTCCTCTACATGAGTTTTAAAAATACAAGGAAAAAGGATCTTCCTCCTCTTGTGCTTGACCTCTTTATTTTAGGAAACATGATTTTATGTTTCAATAAAACCCTATGGATTTGATGCACCACTCTTGTTGCCCTTTGTGCTCCATGACCCCAACCTGACTTATGCTTAACCTAAGTCTAACATTAGATCTGACTTTTTTCTAACTTTCTTGTGCTTGAGCTTGATGCGGCAAAGCTTGGAATTAGAAAAGTATAAGCACACCTTGTTGGTTCAATTTCACTTGGTTAGGTAATCAACCAAGCTCAAGTTGTTCGAAAGAGCATGAAGAATAAAATGCTTATTGTAGGAGATGCATGATTAAAATGCAGAAACCGATTCGTGAGATCCAACAATACTTTGAACATAAACGCACAAACAAAAAAACACAAAAAAACACAAATTTAATGTAGTAAAACTTGAGAGTGAAAAAACCACGGAACCACACCACCAAAAAATCCACGATAAAAAAATATGGAAAATAGTACAAATCACACCACACTCAAGTCTCTCTAATTCCTAGAGCACTTCAGAAATTATCTCCCTTCTCTATCGCACAAGAGAAAATAAAAATCCAACGCCATGAACTCGGTCATTGACTCATATTATCGGGCTCCTTGCCAAAAAATAAAAATACAAATACTGATATGCAGAAATTCGATTGCAGAATCTTGGGCACAAATCCTCGGCTGAATTTGTGGTTGGGGAGATAATTCAGCGTGGATTTTAAATACATATTTTTTTTCAAAACTGGAAACAAATGTATCTAGTTGCAGGGGCACCACTCCTGGGCGTTCGATTGTCAGAGGCTCTATTTCATATGCCCAGAATGGGCACTGCAGTTCTCGTACTAGCATCAGGGCATGCTGCCAAATGCCAGGGCATGCTGCCAAATGCCAGGGCACCACCCCAGGCGTGGGGCACTCGAACAACCCTCCAGCTATCACAATCAAGCTACACAAAATATAAATTTTCCACTTAGAGAGTGATTGTAATTAATTCCACTCCTCCAAATCTGCACCATCTTTATAATAATAAATTATAGTGTTGCTTAAACACGATCTCAACCTTCCTGAACTCCAACTAAAACCAATCATAGCTTCAATTTCTCAACAATAAGTCTTAGGGCCCGTTTGGGGAAGCTTATAAGTGCGGACGGCGTTTTGAAAACGCCGCCTTGCCGTTTGTTTCGCACTTATTAACAGATTATCCTAAACTGCGTTTTATAATTTGTGAAAGACGCGGACCATGGGTCGACCCCGCGGTCCGCGTTTTTGATCTAATAATTACTCCCGTGACCCTACTTGGCATCTCGTGACCCTGCTGCTCTCATACGCATCCTTGCTCTCCGAAACTCGGTGGAGGTCCGATACTTCAATCATGGAGGTCGGAAGGATCACCGACG